GATAATTGAGGTCAACTAGGGAGAACTTCATGCCCCACCCACCTGCCTTAGAGCTGAGGACTCTCCTGGGGAATGAGCCAGACACCTTTAACCAACCAAAGCAGGCTATGTTCGAAATCCCCTGCAACAGGTATACAGGAGATAAGGACAGAACGTAACAAAATAAAAAGTAATGCAACAAATGAAGATCATCACATTGAAGTTGGACAATCCTAGTCAAACGAAGAATAAAAGAGCCCCAAGAGAAGTTACAGAGTCAGATACCCACTCGTTTATACTTTCAGGAGACTCATAACAGTACTAAAGGGAAAGGCATGCTATATATGCAGAGAGCCTGGTACAGACCCATACATTCTGTGCTTGCTTGAGTCTCTGTGCGTTCATATGAGCATTGCTCAGTTGTTTTAAAGGGCCTTGCTCCTATCAGACTTTTCTATGGCTGATGCTTTATCATTTACTGTTGCTAATGCGTCTTAGCAGCTGTTGGGTTCCAGGCACTTATGCTAAGCTCTCAATGCGCATCATCGTGTTTTAATTTTGTAATGTCCGCATGCTGTATGCACGCCCGCCGTTGTGATATTATCTGTATTTTACAATTCAGAAACTGAGGATTAGAGGTGTTAAGTGACTTGCCCAAAGCTACTCAGCTAACAAATGCTAAATCCCAACACAAAGGCAGAAATCCATGAACACAGTTAGCAATGGAAGGGAGAGAGGTATATAACTGGCAATTGGTGCAATGAGGGCAGCGGACAGCAGTGACCTCAGGACCTCATTCTTTCCCAAAGTTGTTGAGAAATAAATATGAGTGAAGCCAAAGAGTCACCCGTGTCTCTGAATTTCTCAACCACAGCCTCTACATACTTGAATCTTTCCACCTGCTACATATGGTTGTCCCAGGTGTCACCTGACTGCTGTTTTCAGGGACTGGAATGATTTTAGTCTCTGCACACTTAGCAAAACCCACCATCTGTATTACAGCTTAAAACACATCTGAGACCCAGGAAAAGGGGCACAACCACCTTGTGGTTTCTGCCCGACCTCAGCTCCCTCAAGTGCTTTCTGACCTCATTTTTTTTTTGATCCTCAGTTGCTTGCAACAGCAGCTGAGGAAGTTTCTATGACAAAGCCACCTGGTCTGTCCATGGTGACAACAGATGTGTTCTCAATGATTTGGGGTGTGATTGTCACAGTGCTTAACAATGCACGTAGAAAGTCCAGCCTGAGAGACCCAGGTTGGTGACAGTTGTACTGAGGAAGGGGGTGGGGGCAGGGAAAAGAGAAAATGCAAAGTTAATGAAGTGTCAGCATTGCTTGGGAGGTGAACCAGATTCTTGTTTTCTGTGTACGGTTTTAAAATCTTAATTAACTTTTTTGAAGTATTCAGAGAAGTCAAGCATGTGAGCTCTCTCTAACCATCAACCCCACAGGCTCTCTAAGGGGTCTGGAATGGAGTCTCAAAGCCAGCCTGTGCTGAGACATCATATACCTGAATTATGGCCCATAGAGCATTTAGACGAAAACCACACATGGCAGATACTCAGGGTAGCAAGAATCCTTTTGGGGGTGGCACTTAATTCACAAAGGGGTGAGAGACGGTGGGTGGTTTCGAGTAGAAAGTGCTGAGTCATTTCAGTAATGGTCACAGCTAATTTTTATTGAGCCAGTCAATGCACTAAGAGTTAATGGGCATGAATCAGCTCCTTGTATCTCGCAACAACACTCTGAGGTAGGTACTACCATTATCTTCAATTTGCTGATGGAGAATTGAAGGCTCCGAGGTTTAAGTGACTCAGTTAAAGTACACAACTGCCGAAGGAGCAGACTCGGAGCTTGGAGTTTTAATTTCTCAATACCTTTATTTCCTGCCCCGAATTTCCTGAATAATAACTCAGAAATGTTATTAAACTGAGAAGCTCTTTGGCAACTCAAAATCTTTTCCAAGGCTTGTGCAGTTCCTTTGGCTTGGCTGCGTCGTGAGGACGACCCAGAAGCAGAGGGATTTGTACCAGAAGGAGCCCACCAGAGCTCCCAATCTGGGTGGAATAATTGCATGCTATAAAAGCCCATAGCCACTTCTCAAGTTTTCTTTTTACACAATCAGCTTGGGAGGGATTTAGATGTGTAGGCACAATGGGCTAATTTTTCTCTCTCTTGGGCTGGCAGCATGAGGCTCCACCCTGGCATACTTGCTGGCACAACAGGCATCAGGCCTCCTTGAGCCAACAAGAAGGATCCAGATGAGCTTGTTTGGTAGATGAGCCTGGGCGAGCAGAACAGACTTTGGGCTTGTGGGTAGGAAGTTAAATGAACTCCTTCAGAGTGCCAGGCTATCAAGGAGCCCCATGAAAGAGGTGTTTTACAAAATGGTACCCTATGACAACAGATTATTTTCTCTGCTCAGGGGAGTACTTTGACTTGGTTTTACCCCAGGTTCACCATAGACTCATGTTTAATAACAATGCCTGTTCCGCTTTGCTGCAAGGGCTATAACTCCTGTGTTTTTGCAGAATGCCTCAAACGAGTGTCAGGGCACAATAAACAGTCAATAGTGATGTTTACTATGATAACGATCTTCCAATGCCTTTCATCTGAGGCGCTCAGACTGCTTTGCAAGCACTAATTAGTTAGGTGTCAAGGTGGCTCTTTTGTTTTTACAATACATTTCCCCATTTTACAGAATTTTAAATTGAGACCCAGCCAACTTAAGTGGCTTGGCCAAAGTCATACCAAGAGTTAAATTAAAGATAATGATGGTGCTTTGCATTCCCCTGGCAGATGTTGTCCATGGTGATACAGCATGTTGCAAAGATAATTTCACAGTGCCTTAGAGAAGGAGTGGGGGTAGCGAATACTACTGGCTATTGGCTTGGTTGGATAAACGGAGGCAGAGAGTGCAAATAACTCCAGGGGGGATGGGGTGGGGTTGAACGATGTTGCAAATCCAGTCTCAAAGTGATTGAGCTGGAAGGCACAATGGTTTCATACAGGAGGAATAGTTATATTTTTCAAGCAGAAACAAGTTGTGAAATGACACCATATTAACATCCGGGAATGGGCTTGTTCATATCCCAGCAAGAGGCAAAGGGCCGGAGATGAATACTTTACTGAAAGAAAAGAATGAATTGGTGGTGCTCATGGTGAGCTGCCAGCTCCTCTCTTTGAAAAGCATGTTTATTAATTCGGATTCTCTTGGAAAGCATAAGCCCTCAAGGGCTTGAATCTGTATTTCAACCTAATGGCAGGCCTAGGTCCACAACAGCTTGGTGAGTGGCAAAGACACATCACTGTCTCCCTTGTCTCATATTCCAAGTCCCCAAGAAGAGGTCCAAGGACATCCACTATCTTAATGTCTTACATATTATCTGTTCTCAATCTCCCTTGTGGAGGAGCATGCTTGGTGACTCTTGCATGGTTCAACTCCCTGATAACTGTGGAATCACTTTTCTTAGCAACATGCTGGAAAGACGAAAACCTAAACAAAAGTATGCAAATGGTACAGGGGACCCAGTTCCTTCCAGGCAACCTCCCCACAGTGATGACAAGCATCTCCTGAAAGGCAAGACATTCCTAGGGAACGGAAGAGAAGAGGCTTCTAGGGGTTAGGCATTCAAGAGAGATTTGCAAACCCGGAGACAGATAGCTTTTCTCTGTTAACAAGGCATGTTTGAATAAAGTTTGTTCTCCACCCTACCCTGCCTTTGCAAGCCCGTGGATTCTGATTGATTGGGGAGACTTCCAGAGAAGCGAGTGCCCATCCCTTCTCTGGAATGTGTTCACCACACGCACAAGCTCAACAGCAATAAAATCTTCAGTGAAGAAACCGCACCAACTTCCCACTCTCATTTTTGAATCCGTATATACACCACCCTACCACACGTGTCTGAAAGGCACTGTGAACTCCAAGAAACTGAACTTTCAGAAGAAAAGCTTTAGGAAACAGCTGTTAATGCACACCCCAGGCCTCTTCTGTGTGAGGAGAGTGTTGAGGGCCGAACACTAACTCATACCCACTGCAACTCTCCAGAACAGTCTTGGGACCCTGCTGCTAGCACTAAAGCTTGCTGTAGGCAAGGCTTCAAAGAATGCATCATGGATGGCTTAAGTATGCCAATAGTCTAAACCGTAGTGCTGTGTTTATTTTGGTTCAGGGAGTCTGGGGATGACAATGCAAATAATCCAGATGGACTCACAGGACTGTGTTCTCCTCTAGATTTGTGCTCTTGCACAGCAGCCCAGATAATGTCCTTGGGATGTGCTATCAGGAGTAGACAGAGGAGCATAGGAGGCTTTACTTCATAATCTATATGATTTGGTATCTATAGCATAGCCCTTGCCCGGCACACATTTGTGTGTTCTCTTGCTTTGTAGACACACATTGGCGGCGTTCATACACACACGGGTTCTATTATATATCCTAGCCTTTGCCCTTAATCAATTCACTTACATAGACACTTTCCTCCTCTGATTTCATACATCAAATATCTCGAGAGATATGCTTCAAACACACCATGAATGAGCATCATTGTAACAGCACTTTAAGACACGGGATGGGAAGACAGATTTAGACAAATTTCAAGCAACACCTGACATATGAAAACTCTGAAATCTTAAAAGCAACTTTCAGTTTTTCTTTGTTCCTCACCAGAGCGTTCACCATACATTGATCTGGCCCCTGAGCAACACACGAGAAAAAACAAGAGCGATCATCAACAAGCACTGTCCTCATTCGACTCCCTCTGGAAAAGAACTAAAGACAATCTAGCAAGTGTTAAAAGTTCTGAGACCAATTGTCAGATGGATTAGACAGGCTCAGAGTTCCCATTGTGTCTCTGTTAAGTGATCACAGCTCACCCAACTGATTGCTAGGCAATCATCTCCAGCACTCTGGTGGAAGTCTGTCTACATGTGGTTGAAGAAAAATCTGTTTCCTAGCTCTCAGCATACACATAGCCAACCTCCAGAGTGCACATGATATGAGCAAGCAAGATTTCTCTTACCCCATCCATGTGGATTCTGACACTGGGCACCAGACGGAAAGGGCTGGCCTGTAGACTTCTGGGGCTGCTCTTGGCTTTCTTGTTGTCCTGCAAGGTCAGTATTCGAGGCCTTCGAAAGGAGCCTCCTCTCCACGAGCTCTGTCCAGAGCGTACACCATCAAGCAGACGCACCAGCAACAGGTTGGCGGGCAGCGCCTCGATGCTGCAGAACACCAGGGTCCTGCATTCCGGGCACCTCAGCTCCTTGTGGGCCTTGAAAATCCTCTGTAGGCATGGTTTGCAGAAGGTGTGCTGGCAGGGGAGAACTTTGGCTGTGACATCGAGCTTTTCAAAGCACACAGGGCACTCGAGGAGATCAAGTAACGTCAAATCATCCATTTTATTTTAAAACGCCAGTCCCAACCTGGAGAAGCAAGAGCCACATTGTAGGGGCAGCCGAGTCGAGGGGTTACAGCCAGTCTTTTGGGAGCATCAGAACTCCCTGCCTGTTTGAACGAAGGAGGAAAAAAAAGTGCGACTGCCCTGAGAGGTGTGTCCCACCTACATGGAGGCAGTGTCTTGAGAGGCAGCTGCAAGTACTTTGTTCCGGGAGCGTCAAATGACTCATTCTGTGCAGCAGGTTAGAAGACTCAGCTTGTGCCTGCTGCAGGGATCAGAGGGAATTCTGCATAGTGCCTGATTGCTCATTGCCTCTGAGTGGAGAGTCCTAGCAAGGAGAGAAAACTGTCCAGCTGCGTCAGGGGGTTACTTGTCTACCAGAAGAGCTTGAGGAATCCTTTCTTTTGCCTAAAGCGCAGTCAGTCTTAACTCAGACTAAGGCCCTGACGATTTCTGTGAGGATATCTATCTACCTTTCCTTCTCTGCCTCCCTTCACCTCCCCCAGATCGTTTTGTTTCTAAACTCCAGCAGCACAAGCAGAGGAGCTTAGGGAAGTGTTTATCGGCTCCTAGGCTCCTATGCAGATGTAAACTTCTTTCCCTCACAGTGGGGCTTGTTTCACTATTTTGTTCTAGAAATATACAAGACAAATTCCTACTCCCCAATATTGTTTGACCTTAACTCTATCCCCTGTCCCTCTCCATGTTCCCCTCCTTGCCTCCCTGCGTTCCTCCATTCCAGAATAGTTCAGTCAGAGACATTCTTCCTCCTACCAGGTGAGGTCCTGGGGCCTGTTTAGTAGCTTTGACAATTGTCCTGGGTTTCGGCTGAAGCAGAAAGGAATTCAGGCTTGTGGTTACAGCCTACAGAAACCCAGATGAAGCAGCTAGAGTGAACAGGCAGGCCTCAGTGTGTGTGTGTGTGTGTGTGTGTGTGTGTGTGTCTGTGTGTGTGTGTGTGTTCCCAAAACAATCCTGGCTTTAGAAACAGTTTCATTTCGGATGCCTGAAACCAAGTGTCCAGTTTTAAGAGATTCTTCCCCCTCTCCCACAAGTAAGTCACACCCAGGTTCTGGTGACAGCAGACATCACAGGTGGGCTTGGCAGGAGGGTCAGTGTCCCTAGCAATTAGCAGAGCTGAAAAGTCTTGTGCTGAACAAACAAGGCTCCTCGGGGTGGCAGGGTGGGGTGGAGGTGTGGGGGGTTGTCTTCTCCAGAGCTGTCAGCTAGATGGAGAGGTGTGTGAGGTCACTAACCTTGTGCCTATAACTGCAGTTACACTCTGCTTGCTGGGTTCTGGGCTGGGCTGGGGCTTGCTCCTTCTAACTGGCCAGCCTTCTTTCCTCTGAAGGGCTGGGCGGCTGACGGCCAAGCTTTGAAAACTTCCACCAAAGTCCTTCCAGTTTCAAGGGATCACCTTACCCAGCCCTGTTAACACTGTCGCTGCCAGCCACTGCCAGCCTCACTGTGGCTGACCTATCCTTGATGTCACAGCACCTAGGGCCAAGCAGTAAAGAGTTTGTGCACCCAATTTCCTCATTTTTTCTCCTCTACCCAAGCAGCATAAACTTGCTTAGAAACATGCCAAAGTGCTCATACTTATTTTTAAACTTTTATAAGTATTTCCTGAGAAGGTCAAACATATTAATGATAGCTGTGGTGCAAAGATAAGCCAGTCTCTCATAAAATACTGGTCTTAAAAGTAATAATCACTCCTGGTATTTTAAGATGAGAGGGACTTCAGTAATCTTTGGCTCAGTTTCTTCCAGTTAAAAAAAAAAAAAAAGAGTGGGATGAACATGCACATGCTTTGAAAATGGAAGCCCAGGAAGGTCTTTTAAAAAGGCAAAAAACCAGCAACAACAACAACAACAACAACAACAACAACAAAAACAGTAATGGTGGCAGATCGCCTGTTATTTCCTGTAGACATTCCACACCCCTAAATGATTCTAAAGTTCCATTTTTGGTTTATCAATAATGTCTCATGTGAAGTTCATAACAGCAGGGTGGCCCCTGACTGGTTCAGCTACTACTCTAAATACTTTACCTGCATTCACCTGCTTAACCCTTACCTTAACCCCCCAGATGTGGACGCTAAGACAGACCGGAAAGCAGGTCATCTGACAAGTGGCATCAGATGGAAGGCAGGTGGTCTGTGCTCTGCTCGTATAACGACTATGACACAGAGTAAGCAGGCTTTAAGAGAAGAGAGGTTTGAGGGCACCCAACCTCATCTAGAATGGCAGGAAGTCAAGAGAAAATGACCCGGATTGACCAATCAGCATGCCTTGCAGATGAGGCAGCTGTGCCCAGAGAGATCAAGAGATTCTCTCAAGTTGCCTAGTGAGTAAGGATAAAGCTGCAACTAGAAACTGGATCTTCATCACCCTCTTTCTCTTCTAATCCCCTCTTCCTCTTCCTCCTCCTCCTCCTCTTCCTCCTCCTCCTCCTCCTCTTCCTCCTCCTCCTCCTTCTTTCTCTTCTTTCTCTTGTTCCTGTTCCTTCTCCCCTTTTCTTCTTTATCTTTCATCTCTCTTACTCTTTTACTTCTTCCTTCTCCTCTTCTTCCTTTTTCTCCTTTCTCGATTTTTCTTCCTACTCTTCTTCCTCCTCCTCCTCCTTGTGTCTTTTGGCTGTGTGTATGGTCCACATCTGTAATCCTAGTACTGGAAAGCCAGAAGCATGACCTTGAGGCTATCCTGGGCTATATTGTGAGACTCTGTTCCCCACCCTCAAATACAAATCAATTTTTCTATTTTCTTTTTTTTTTAATTTTTTTTAAATTTTTTTTTAAATTTTTCTATTTTCTTTTCCTTCTTTACCCTCTTTTTGTCTATCTACGTAATTAATCTTTTTATCTTTAAACAGAAGAGTAACAACCTTTGGGCATGAGAGGGAAGCAGGGGTTGAACCTAAGACTTCATACTTGCTCCAATGACTCTGTCTCTAGTCTAATTGCCCTGCCTGATAATTCTTTATCATATGGAAGTCACTTAGGCATGGCTTCTTTGAAAATCCTTAGAGGGAATCAGGGAATCTGTGGTGGTTTGTCTTTCAGTGTTTCTCCATGTCAGTTGAAAGAAAGAAGAAAGAAGAAAGAAGAGAGAAGGAAAGAAGAAAGAAGAAAGAAGGAAGAAGGAAGAAGGAAAAAAAGAAAGAGAAAGGAAGAAAGAAAGAAGCGCAGAATGAAGGAGACGTCAGAAAGGAGCAGTATATAACATTTGTAAATGGGTAATACATTAATAACAATAATAGAAATGTTATAGATAACTTAATATATGCCAGATACCAGTGAGAAAACTTTAAGCAAATTACCTCAGTAAGTCTTCCAGCAGCTCTAGGTTGTAGGTGCTGTAACTTTTCCAGTTACAACTTTTGACTTGAACCTGAGGTTTTTTTTTTTTTTAAATGTTACAAACTCCTGTACACACAATGAATCTATTCAAGCATTTTTACTATGTAAGTCCACACATGTCTACATACAAAGTCTACCGTGTAACCATCAGCACTCTGTGGAAACAACCCAAGAAAATAAGAATAAAGGAAACTAGGGGTTTTTTGCACTCCTCTCCTTCTGTGTCACCATCTCACAGCCCCTCTCTGTTTCTTTGTGTGTGGGGGGTGTCAAAAAATTCTATGGAGCCTTCCATTCCTGAGAAAATTCAATCACATCTGCTCTCCTAAGAAGGCAGGCAGGAAAGACCAATGAGTTACCCTTTCCTAGTGCATTTGGCAGTTGGAATTTTAAAGCCAGAATAAGGATGGACTATTTGGACACACTGGAACAGGGCAGAGAAAGTTTACACTAACTGGGGGTTGGGTTTGGTCTCTCAATTCATACCTGTAGGTGGTCCCTAACCACCCACAGAGAGGTTAGTCTCTAGAAGAGCCTTTCTTTTGAAGTGTTGGTGGGGGGAGGGGGTGGATTCAGATGGAGATTTGATTCTGGCTTTCCCAAGCACTACCTTGGCCTCAAATCAGACAAATAGCTTAGTTCCTGAAAAACAAACAAAAAGGTGCATTCTGCATCCTTCCCAGGCTCCAGGCCCCCTGCACCACAATCGATTCATTCGCCCTTTACAAGGCAATTCCAGGCTATAAGCTTGTTTAATGTCTGTGCGGCACTTAGGAGTTTACCCTGCTTGTATTCACATGTTGACTCATGCTAAAAGGAGACTAATCTGATCGTTTGGCTCCCCGGTTCAACATCCTTCCTACTGGCCTTAGGCTGAAATCCAAGTCTTGCTTTTGGCCTGTAAGACTGTGTATGATCTGGCTTATCTGCCTGAGCTTGTGCGAACATATCCCCTCTGTATTCCAGAGGCACTGCCTTTTTTTTCCTTCAACCTTCTTTCTCTCTCTTTGCCCTCTTTGCCTGTTTCACATTCTCTATGACTTTGAGTTTCAATTAAATGCCCCTTCTTCTGGGAAATGGTCTTGATTTCCGTGAGGAGGGAGTTTGTCATCCTATCCTCTTTCATAAAGAGGATAATATAATAATAATCACAGCTGCAACTCAGCCCTGTAATCATCCATTAATGTCTAACACTCCCAAACAGAGCAGAGGGGAACAAAGCACTTACTTGGCCAACTATATGACTTGTACGTAGTTGGCACTCATCACATGTGTACACATGAACTTAAGAGCAGAACAGTGAATGGATGAATGGATGAATACTGTTTTAAATGTGTCATGTTTGGAAATCAGGCATAGTGGCCTATGTTGAAACACTAGATTGTGAGTTCAAGGCCAACTTGAAAGACTATCAAAAAATCATATTTAGGGCACTATGCATCAAACCTGTATTATATCTGACATATCTTTGGAGTCAAATTGAATACCCTGAGCTCCACCTTTTACTTGAATTAAGAATTTTTACCAGATTGAGGTAGATGTCACTTAGCAGTATCTTGCCTCAAGATCTTGCCATATACTTCTTCTTGCCTCCGAATCTAGACGTTGTTTGATGGTACCATGTAGGTCACCTTTGAGAACCTGATCACACTCATAGGAGGACTCTGATCCAGAAGCAGAGTCGTCTTAGGTGGTGGTAGTTTATGGAGAACGTTCTGATCTCTCTTCTCCTTTTCCTGAGATTTCACTAAGTCCTCTCAGCAGAGGGAAGTTCA